ACTTAAAGCTTTTCCCCACTCCTTTACAAACAGATACTGATAAAGATAAAACAGATACAGATAAAACAGCAGAAATAATTACTTTTTTGTGTCGGCTTTAAAGGGTTAAGCTGAAGAATAACCCGAGAGTTTTTGGGTTTAACTCAACTGAACAGTCTGGGGTCTAAGCACATAGAGAGAATGGCGGGGTTAGGAGGTAATGAGGGAGGAAGAGACAAGAGGAGTGTTTTGTAAAGGGGAGTAGATGCACATTCAAATACATTCTGCTTAAAATGTGGATATTCAAATAGCAAAAATGCCTATCATAAACAAAAATGGTTCCCTAAAGACCTATCCACTGAAACGTTTTTAGGGAACCTAATGCAGTTCTTCTGTGCCTCATATATATTTAACGTACCTATTGACCTACAGAATGAGAACTCTCACAGATGTTGCTTAGATGTCATGAGGAATTTCACGAGACGCAGTATAGCTGCTTGTGTCTCACCTTTCTCTCCAGCTCTGTCGCACAGTCAAAAACCTATTTAAAAATGACACAAGAATGCACAGTTTTTGTTTGTATTCCAAACTACACGTCCTATTCAAATAACTAATTAAGTCTCTGAATAATAAGTTCACTGTGAATGTCAGTGTGTTTGAATAACCACGCTCATCCTTAATTTCTCTTTCTGAGACCCTCGTGCTCAGGCCAGCGAAGAGCAGGAACTCAAATAAACTCTCCGTGTCATGGCGGATGCGGGCGGCCGCCTTGTGTTTCATACCTGCCAAGCCGCTCGGAGCGCGCTGACAAGACCCATTAAAGTTTATAGGCTCGCGGCACAGCCGTCTGTCAAGCTGACGGACAGGTCAGCCCCCCTAAGCCGGTGCCAGGGCAGGAGAGGGTCACACTCGCAGCAGGGTTGAGGGGGAGGGTAGGGGCAGTGAGGGGGACTACAGAGTTTCGGAGTGGGTTTGGGGTGTGGGAGCTGGAGTTGGGGTAAAGGATTTCAGACGGAAATTTAGGAGATGTCTGGGCTGATTGGAGACTGGAAGGGAGCCACAGGGAAGCCTCACAGCAGGGCACTCTGAGTGGATGACCACCTGGCTTTGCGCACACACACACACACACACACAAAGGCGGTAACAAAGTCGATTAGTCGTCAACGACATTGATTATGGAAAAGTCCATATGGCATTTATTTAAAACAAAACTGCTGTAGTTACAATACACTGCAGGAAGCATAGAGGGCAAAATGGCTTCTGTTGTTTTCTAGCACAGTGGAAAAAAAGTAATTGCTTAAAATGTGAATGATGGCAGCACTGTGATGGGGCAAACTGTGAGGAAATTATAGAAGATGTAATGGCTCAATAGGATGATTAATTGAATTGTAAACAATAGAATAATATCAATAATTGTAAGGGTGAATTGCGGAGTGTTTTTCTTAGACCATAGGTCACTTCAGCATAGTAGCGTAGATCAATAAAAATGTAATCAACGTAGGAAAAAGTACATATGTGTAATTAGTATTCAACAAATACAAAAAATGGTAAATGGCAAGGTAAGATGTAGAAAAGAGACGTCTTAAGTTATAAGACACTGAAGAGATATGGAACAAATCTATAATGCAAATAGTTATTAGTTGCAGCCCTAACACATAGACACAACTGATCGTTAACAGAGGTCTGCTGGGCATGAAATTGAAGCTCAAACCTGACCCGTACCTGCAACGATGAGACTGCTGAATTTGAAACCCAGACAGAACCTGCTCGCACGCATCAACGGAGATGGACTGCTGGTTTACACCATTTTACTGTGCTCTGCTTTATTGCTAAGTGATTCAGTTGAATATGGAAAAAAAACTAAAAACACTCATCTGAAAATTGAGCTTTTGCCATTGACAGCATTGACTTCCACATAAGTGTGTCGCTAAATAGAGGACCCCTGCTCTCATAGCTCAAAATACTATGGCAAGCTCTACACTGTGTGCTTTTTATCTGATGTAACAACCAGGTTATAATGTTTCTTTAGTGATGACGTCCCAGACCCATCTGGAATTTAAACAGTTCTCCTTTAGCAAACGTTCTGTTTTTTCGTTCATGGTGATCAGTTAGATTATACTTAATTTATTTAATTTCCAGTCATAACAGCCATTAATTGCAATTCATTGTTCAGGAGACATTTCTGAAGAGGTTTGTTATAAGATAATCAACTTGTACAAATTGGACTTCTAACAACTGTGACCATAACAACTTAGACCATAGACCACCAAAACCACCATCAGATTAACAGTACTTAAAGCTTGTATCTTTAAGAAGAAATTAAAAATTTTGGAATTTAGTTTAAGAATTTTAAGAAGAAAATTTGCAAATCAAATAAATAAGCTGTTGATGTCCTCAGATCGCTTGACTGGCCACCCCAGAGTCTAGATTTGAATGTGTTTGGGATTACTTGGATCTTGAGCAGCAGAAAATGCAACTAGCTTCAAAGACTGAACTTTGGAGGTGTGGAATTTCTGCAGAATTATTTAAAAAAATTAAAGCAAATCTCCTGAAGGGATTGGAAGCTGTAATAAAGGCTGTGGACACAAAAAAAATGCTGAAAACATTGTTTTTATATTTTTATATATTTTAGATTTAGATTTTTATATGTATAAAATGTAGGTTGGGCTCTGACTTTTGCACAGTACTGTACCTATAAACTGTGCTAGAGAGAGTGTACATGGTGTACACTGCAACAAGAATATGTGAAAGTGTGCTAAATTTGCGTTGGCCCATTTTTTCCAAATCTACTACATAAAAGAATCACTCATCAGAAAACAAATCCAAGCATGACCCAAGCCCAATATTGTATATGAAAAATCAGCCCAAACCTGATATTTTATCAGACCCTGTTGGGCCTGGGTTCGGAAGCAGAAGTCTATAGCAAATGCCATGCCAAGCTATAAGTGAATGATGCTTCAGCTCCACAGCCACAGTGTGTGGAGTGGAAGTAGACTAGAGAGGCTGTATGAGTGTTATCAGCCGCAGTGGGAATGGTGCATCCATTAAAACTCGCAGGAACCCCAGTGTGTTGAGTGCCAGTGACTCAACAAGAAGCTCTATTGTCCAGCATGAGAGCTCACTCTGCCAGCCACGGTCCTCAGGCTCCACTTCAACCTTACACTTAACTCTGGTGTTCCTGCTTCCAACTCACAAGGTGCTGAAAGTACATGGCAGTTCTCCATGGATCCAGCAAATTACACGCACACACATCCTTCTCTTTAATTTTTCAGTTCTACTCTATTCTCTTAGGTGGATGGTGAAGAGTCAGTGTGTTCTGTGTTGCTGTGGTAATCTTTGACTGTGAGGGTACAGAAGTCTTCTCACAAGATATTGAGGGAGGAAAGTTCCGAGTCTTAACAGAACTCTGTGTATGTATTTGCATGTGAAGAGAGCTGAGGGGTCTATGAGGCGTGCCACTGCAGGATTAAAGTATCCCTCTCTCCAGATCATTTCTCTGCTCCAGCCGCGTCCTGTCCTTTCTCCTGTTTGTTTTAATTAAATCAAAGCTTCTGGAGGGAAAGGCCTAGTTTCTATGTCTCTCTTTTTCTCCCTCTCTTTCCCTCTCTGCAGATGGTTTGTGTAGGGCAGAGAAGGGATGCATGCCTTTCTTCTTTCTCTTGTTTTCACATGAAAAGTTCTACTTTTTTTCATAACTTTTTTTTGTATGGTGTTGAAACAATACAGCCCACAGCCTAAGGGAAATGGAATCATTCCACATTAGGAATGCATTATTGCATCCCTGCTGTTTGCTCTGGGCTCCGGCCCTGTTGGCCCTTTCGGCCCCGTTGGTCCCCGAGCTGTCGTGAGCTCAGGCCTTTTGTGCCCGTGGAGTTTGACGAGGCACAAAGCAGTGCATTATGGTCTGTGTGAGAGCTGGACCAGGATTGTACTGAGTGAAATGTTCAGAACATCTGTGAGTCCTCATCAGGATATAAACACCTCGCTGAGCTCACAGCCACACAACCAAGATCTGTGCCAGACAACCACCAATATTGCAAGTAACTGATGGCATTGAAACTGACCCTGCCAGCCACCTGCTTATACTGCAGCTAACCCTACAAGCTAACCCCCAACACTACAACTATAACCCAGTCAGCTAACTATTAATACTATACCAAAACCCCAGTCAGCTTAATACTAAAACAACTAATCCTGCCAGCCAACCACCAGAACTACAACCAACCCAGTTAGCTAACTACCAATACTGCATCTAAACCTACCGACCTGACAGTATTGAAACTAACCCTGCCAGCTAATTAATAGTTCTGCAACTAACTCTGCCAGCTAACAGCCAGTATTGCAGGTAACCCTGCCGGCTAACTGTCAGTATTGTGACAAACCCTGCAAGCCAATGACCAATATTGTGATTAACCCTGCCAGCCATCCACAAGTATTGCAACTAACTCTGACAACCAATAACCAGTATTGCAACTAACGTTGCCAGCCAACTGCTAATAATGCAGTTAACCCAGTCAGCTTACGGCCAGCAATGCAACTAACCCTGCCATCTAACCACCAGCGTTACAACCAATCCTGGCAGCTAACCACCAGTACAGCAATTAACCCATTTAACTGACTACCAATACTGCAACTAACCCTGCCAGCCAACCACTAAAACTGCGGCGAACCCTGCAAGCTAACAGTCAATGCTGCGATGAAATCTACCAGCTAATCGTGCCTCACAAACACCAGTATTGTCGTTAACTCTGCCATCTAACCATTAAAATTGCAGCTAAACATACCCTCCTGCAGCTGACCTGTCACACAGACACCGGCAGGGCCTGCAGTCACAAAGGTCTGGATGGTTTTCAGTCTGTCTCTCAATAGTCATGAGACATGGACCATTGTTTTTATAAGGATTTAAATGACATCAGCAACATTGTGGTGGCTATTGTATGGCTCTGCACTAGAAAATGTCCCAGTTGAACAGTCACAAAAAACCATTAGATATGACCTTGTTTCTGTATTTTCATCCACAGCTGGAGCCCCTTGCTGATGAGGTTCTTCAGCAGAGACCCAATCTCAATGCTGTGCGCTCCATAGAGAAGGTTATTGAAGCCCATAGTAAGTGTGCATTTATGGCATATCTCCTTAAATGGCTTACTATGTGTCAGTGTATAGTCTTTGAATGTTATTTCTAGGGATATGGATCTAGATCTGTCTGGTGACAACTTAAACTTGTGTCTCAAGTTTATATAAAAAACTTGACTGATGTCCTGTGACCTGTGTGTGTTGTAGGTAAGTACTGGCGCTGTCTGCAGCGCAGTGCCTCAACGCTGGGCTACTCACTCGTTGAAGCTCAGAAGTGTGAGACAGAGGAGGCAGAGACTGTGACTGCCATGGCCTCTCTGTCTGTAGCTGCCAAACACATGGGGAAGAGGTAGGTGTATATGTTGTGGGTGTTTTTTGTTTAATCTGTGTTCAGAAACCCATTTGTTTGTTGATACGGTGGCATAGGCGTAGTTTCCACTGGCGGTGTAGGAACATACTCCTCTTCACAATCCAGATGCTAAATATATAATAGAATAAAAATAACACTGTTTAAAATGTATCTGAAGTAGACTACATCACTGATGGTATATTAAGATCGGTGGGCTACTCCCACTTGCATGGTTCCAACTTCATAGTGTCCCCTTGTGAAAGGAAATATGTGTCTGTGCATGACTCGCAGGTCTGAAGAGGAGCCGATGGAGGAGGAGCCACCGTTGTAGAAGCAGTCGTCCGATGACCTCGGTGACCTCCTTGGCTCACAGCCTCTCACTGGTGTGTGACCTCACTCTGCCCTCTCCATCCGTTTCATTTTTGGCTGCGCCTGGCTCCACGGCCTCGCAGCTCCACTCGCGGGGCTCTGAGCGCGTTTTCAGCTTGGGAAGCGAAACGGACCGAAGACATCTCCAAAACACTCAGAGTGCACCAGTCTGGAACACCTCCGCCGTTTTTAGTCCGTCTCTGTCCAGCTTGGGGTATGTCCAGGTCTCCCGCTTGTCTGTCCTTCATGGACACCTGCTTTCAAACGGGACATGGACTCACGTCCCACTGGTAGATGTGAGAGCTGGTGCTTTAAAAGAAAAACTCTTCTTTTCATGGCCACTAATGTCCGCATGGTTCCAGCTGTGGACTTCGTCATGGCTGTGTCCTTTTTTTCTGCTTTTATTTTTTGTCTCTTCATTTGTTTGTTTGTTTGTTTGTTTGTTTCGTCTTTTTCTTGAGGGGGAGGAAAAAGTGACTGATGCTGTTTCATTCCGAATTGCGACGTTTTGGAAAGTTACTGCTACGTGCTTGCGAGGTAGTTGAGGCTGGAGGCATGGCCAGGGTGGGTGGGAGGGAGTGAGTGAGGGAATTTTTGGAGGACGTGTGCAAGATGGCTGGTGAAGCAGCCCTTCTGGAACCCCTCTAACACACAAGAGAGAGACACCGAGAGATTGTGCCTTTTTTTTTTAAGAGCTGGTGGATAAGTGATGACTTGAGAAGAACATTGCCTTAAACTTGTTACATAAGGGGAAGGCCATCGGGTCCCTCGGCCCCCCTCCTTCTTTTTTTCCGGGAGTGGAATGGTTGAAGGCCCGAAGGACAGAAAGCCCTTTGCATGTTTACCAGGAATGCCCTGCAGACTTCTGTGTGTCTTGCACACATTATCATCATTTTATTGTCATTTTTTTAATTTTGTTGTTTCCTTTTCAGTTTTTCAATACTTGCTTTGGACTTTGCATAACTTCAGGATCTTTCGCTTATAAATAACTTGTAAGGTAGTTGCCAGCTGTACACAGGCAAACATTGTTGGAGCAGTTTTCAGTTGAATTCTGCAGTGCTTTTGAGAGCAAGTGCAGCCCAATGTAGCTACTTGTTCAAACTCTATGACCAAATCTCCATTATCGCCTCCGTTAGCTAGCATGCACTGTTACTCGACACCTTTCCTTGGACCAGTTTGAATGCTGTAGTAGTAGAAGAAAAATAAACACTGAAAGCATGAGATTTAACCAGTAGTTCGGTGCCACTAGCCACAGGCAAATAAGGTAGGACCGTTCAGATGTTTTCTTCTTGCAGAACTTTGTGATTGAATAATTGAACTATTTATGTATTTTCATGTATATCTCACCTCACTTGTTAGACTTTTTATAGTTATGAATGTCAGTGCTCAGATTAAGTGACTATTAAGGGCACTAGTTAATCACCAATAATATCCTTCTCAGCATATGGTCAGTTTTTTTTTTTTTAATGGCATCTTTGAAATATGAAGACAAGGGCTGGAAATCAGTTTTAAAATATACCATTGAGCCTTCTGATGTGCCAGCAGGTGAGATTCAGTGCTGGTGTTCAGCTTCATGTTTCCTGCCATTGAGTCCCTGCACTAGCAGCACTGCAGTGGACCGTTTTTTCACTACTGGCAGGTGCTACTGTCTCTGTGTGCGTGCATTTTTGTGTGTTTTTGAGTGACTGCGTGTGTGTATGTGTGCGTGTCAGTCCAGGAAATAATCGGACCACCAGCCTGCACCCAGACAATAATGGCAAAAACCTCCCCGAGAAGGCTGTGACACTCCACCGATCTGCACGAGTCTCTCTAGCTGAGCACGTAGGTTTTGGAGCAGCACATGTATGCATCTTAATGACCCGTTAACCTGTATATACACAAGCATGCTCGCTGATGGCGTCATTCACCTTGCCACTGATCTGATGTGGACTGATCTTAGATGGTCTTACTTGTTTGAAAACCCCAACTCATGTTCAGCCTCTTGGCAACTACCTTTGACATTGTTGACACGAACTTTTGATTATTTCTTGTATATTACCATAAGTGAGATGGGAGAAGTGCATATTAAGGAATTAGGCATGAGTTGCTGTTGCGATTGTTCTTACTGTCTTTTCTGGTATACCCATGCCTCACATGACTACTCCATTCTGAGTTATTTGCCAGTTATTTTCCTCTCTGTACTTTCCTTATTTTCTCCTTTTGTCTTGAACTTTTTATACTGATTCTTTTCTGTTTTTGATTTTGGTTGTTTCCCTGTTACACTCTGTACAGTTGACAATGTTGTTTTACATGCTTAAAGTTCTTAAGACCATAGTTCTTCTCTTAGAGAGCAGCCTTTTACACACACTCTGGGGTTCTGTGGTTTTCTTGGGAGGGTGAAATTGAGATGTTTCTACTTTGTATAATGATTCCAACAATTGTGTATTTACTATATGTTCTGTTCATAGTAGATTTATATATGAGAAAAAAAATCTATAGATATATATTATAAAAGATTACAATCACATTTGAAAAAACTTTGGAAGTGCAAGGTGATGAAATGCTCATATATCCGCTCTGGCTGTGTCTAGTGCAGGGCTCGCTGAAGTCTCTGTTCTCTCCTCATGGCTGCCATTGGTTTAGAGCCGCAAACCGTAGCACTACACTGGTTCTGAAATCACACGCTCACCGGGCGCTTCATCGTACAGTCGTATCAACAGGCAAACCTACTGAAAACACGACTTTACCGGCTTGCTCAGTGACTGTGCTGGCAGGCAAGTTTGTTAGAAGAGACCAAATAAATGGATTGACATGGTTAATTGTCGATTTGAGACGTCCAAATTCTCATGAGTGCCAGTTGCAGGTGTTTGCTGCCTTTCCCCTCTACGGAGCCGAATGTAGACCAAGTCGGCACTTTTAAAAACGTTTGATTTTTTTAACCTTGTCATACTGTAGCATGTTAATACTATTACTGAAGCACCGTGAGCTGCATTTGTAAGTGTGGAAGGTGCTATACAAAGAAACATTATCATTATTATTATTGTTATGATTATTTTATTTTTATTATTATTAAATTTATTATTACAAAAAACATACAGTAGTTATCAAATTTCCGTTGTGCTACTGAATGGTGGGCGCAAGTAAATGTACATTTTGGTAAATCCAAGCATATTTCAGTGATGTAAAGTGTTGCTGAAGCATTGCACAGTGTACTCAGTGTTATGGAGAAGGAGGCCATAGTGGTAACAGTGCAGCAGCGACTGACTTGCCAACCAGAGCTCACAGATCACTTTGCAGTAACAGTCTGAACAATGGCAGCCTGTTTCTCACTTTCTTTCTTCCTCAAAGGGACTTCTCTATCTGGTTTATCCACCCCGGATCCAGATAGCCACTTTCATGTTTTAAAAAAAAATGAAAAAAAGAAACAAAAAAACGGCAAACATTCCATTTATTTTATTCCCATTTATTTGAACATCTGTCATTCCTGCTAATTTGCCATTAAGCCCGGGCCTAGCTCTGTTTATTTGAAGGCCTGGGTGGATTTTTTCTGTACCGTTCTCTTCGCTCCACCCCTGTCGTTTTTTCTGCATGTTTGTGTGTCGGCATGCCTGTCTGTCCTTGTAACATATTTGCACAACCGATGAGCACTGGAGGACGAGACTTTTCCAGCATTGTAGAGCGCTCGGGAACGCGACTGCTTTCTCTTCTCTTCTGTGGTCAGGAAGCAGCGGAAAGAACGATGCTCCTCGCGTCCGACAGATGTGCTTTTTACTTGTAAAGAAAAAAAGAAATGAAAACAGAAAAGAGAAAACGATTTCAAAACATTTGAATATTTTACAAAACAAAACAAAAAAACTATAGCACTTGTGACATACAGACAACAGATTTTATTGTATTTATGTAGAACATTGTTTTAGGTGAACTACACACTACATATTAGACTGCCTGTGTGATATATCTTTTTTTTTCTTCTTCCTTTGGATGTATTTTTGGGTTGAGTGGAGAGCATCTGGAGTCATCAAAGGGCTTTTTCCCAGATGTTTGACAGGTATATCATCCTCAGCCTGTCCTTCCCTTTACAGCCAGTAATATATCTATGACCACTGTGGCTCGAGAGCAGGTCTAGGTTTACAGACGTAAGAAATGCATATTATTTTTGTCACTCTGTTTTTTTATTATTTTTGTTTTCCATTGTTACAGTAGAACTTTTCTTGGGACCTTTACTTTAACATTTGTCTTCGACATCAACTATAAAGTATCTTGTTTTGGAAAACAGCAATGTCTTGTTTTTATTTCAGCAACCACAGGAACCAAGTTTGGTTTAAAGAAAAAAATAATATTAAAAATCTTTAATATTTACAGAAATGTTCGTAGAGATGTAGGGGGTCGAATACTAATCAATGTGTTATTACAGTCACAGTTTGAGGATTTGCTCAAAGTTGTAAAGAGTCTGGCTACAGGAGAAACCTCTTCATGGCTGCATTCAGAACAACAATAGCTCTGGAAATGAATGTCACTAAGCGACTTGTAATAGTTCCAACCAGTCTGTTTTGATCTGTAATGCTTTTTAAATGGAGTCCTACCCCCTACAACTTTAACTGCACATGCAAATACATTGAGTTGATTAAATCCTGGGTTTGTGTTTTATGAAAACCATAACCGCAGTTTAAATCATTGTATTCTACTCTGGAAGTTCTTGTTCTTACAACTCTCGGCTTTTGGCCTTTCCTTTCATCTCAGGGCCATGTGATTCTGCAGTTGGTGTTCGTTTAGCTTGTCCCTCAAATAAACCGCGTAGTCCATCCTTCTAGAGGCAGTTGTGCTTCTTTAATGTAGGGCTGAGATTTGAATTGTATGTTCATGCAAAATTCGTGAAAATCAGAAGTTAATGCTATTGAAGTGCTCTGTCTGCTGCCATTTCTAGACACATGCTGACTTCCTATTAACTCCTTATTTTCATATTTTGTAACATTGAGATTGAAGATCTATCACACACTGAAAATGTGCAAAAACCCTGACATTATTGGAGTAAAATGAACACCAAGGTTATTAGAGTAAATGTAAGATTTTTCATTGCAGTGGCACAGCGATGTTCAGTCCTGTTTTTATTTTCTCTTCCTGCTCTAGGACACCCAGCTCAACTCTGTCTAGTTACCAGACGTTTCAGAGTCAGGTGTGTTAGAGATGGAAAGCATAAATGTGCTGCACATGTGGTTCTTAGAAACAGCACTGTTATAATCCCAACCCCCCCCCTCCCCCCTTCACATTATTCACATTATTATTACATCCCATCACATTAACGTCTCCCCAAAGAAGCCTTTGTAGTTATTTTTGACTAACAATAAATGCTTGACTATAAAGAACGCTGGTCTTTTGTTGGTTAGATATCTTATTTCATTGGAGTTCATCCGTGAAGCTGAAGGCCATGTTTATTATGCTGGTGTGATTAGGGTTCTATCTGTTCTCAGATTAAATCTAAATCTGTGTGTTTTCCTGTAGGAGTTTAATACTGTGTGTGGTGTTAACCCTGAGAGCAGATTCTCTTTTTAAACTTTGTGTTGTAGTGCATTATGGGGGTCTTTTATTTTAAAACGTATTGCCCTGCAGAGAGTGCACCAGTGTCTGCTGAAAGATATGTAGAGAAAGGAGGGGGATCGGTGTGGAAAGAAGAGGGCTGTCCAGCGATTTACTGTTTGAGAGCTGTGGTTTGTTTTCATAGGTGCTGGTTCCCATCGGTTTGCCCAGAGTGTCCAGAAACTGAGCAGGTTGCTCTCTACCGTTTCGCTAACAGGGATGGATGAACCTCAGCATACAGAAAGGCCAACATGTGGCCTAATATTGTGTAAGGGAGAGCAGAGCATGAGCACATTTTATTTGCTAAATCATTTTAAAAGTATTTTAGATTAAGATAAGATTAATACTGTTTTAAACATGTGATACTTAAACATCTCTGCTACAAATGAAAATATACACAGTGACTTATAAGTCTGGAAATTTGATACAAACACAGTTAATTCAATACAACTCTATGTTGTTTAAACCCAACAAGCTGCTGGTTGATCTTGCTTTAAACCCAACCCTGCTATGTGAAAACTAGATATCTGTAGTTATTTATGCAGTTGTATGAAAATCTTTAGATGCCCGTAGTCAAATGTTTTGTTTATTTTCAAAGTGAGAATAATTTAACACGTCCTCTACAGGGAACAAACTTAAATGTAGCATTTTTCTGCAAATATTAGAGCACAATTTCTGTTTATTTTCTGAGTTTAACATACTGGAAGAAAAATGTGCCATAACTTTTGCACAGGTGTTTTTCCAGTATGTTAAATTCAGCAAACAAACAGTGACTGTGTATTCAAATGTGCAGAAGTAGAGGATGTGTCCTTATTTTCACTTTTCACAAACAAAAAAACATAAACTGACCAGGGGTGCCTAGACTTTTGCACAGCTGTGTGCTTCAGAGTGGTGCTGTTACAGGACCCCAGGGGGAGATTCAACTTATCTAGGTGTGAATTCTGTTACTTATACACACAACTTGGTAAATGAAAATATGTGTAATAAAAAAACACTTTTATGGTGCAAAAACTTAAGTGAATCTTCAGAAATCTTGCAGATGGTGATGCTATGGAAACACAAGAAGATGGTGGGACCCTCTACTTGAACATGGTTAACTACAAAAAAAGCCATGTTCCATTTTACCCAGTGTTGGGTTGCTCTCTTCATACATTTAAAATAAGCTCAAAGAGGTAAAGAGTGTGGTGTTAAAAGCAACAGAGAAAAATTAATTAAAAAAATGAAATAATAAAACAGGCAAATATAATAAAGATACAATTAAAAGCAATAGCAAAATGACCCCATACTAGACAACACTAGTTCAGTTTATTCATATATTACTTTAAATCCACCAGTTCACATTAGTACTTTTTTGCTTCTGTCTTTCCATGAATTTCTAAGTTTTTTTTTATCGTTTATCCAGCCTTTGTTCCATTTAAAGACTAACCGCAAAGGCCTTGGCTACAGAGTTCTAGCTTTCACAACCTTTTCCATAGACCACTTATAGGAGGAAACCAACAGGATACATGTATTAATGAACATATGGACTGTGAAGTCTATAAAAGGCTGCAGTGCCTTCTCTGGACAGTGGAGGGCAACAAGGAGGACCAGGCCTCACTGTGGTCACGCCAGGGATTACCAGCAATTCTAGTGGAGATATGGGTCAGATATCTGTCCAAATAAACAGATACTAGACAGAGCAAGGGCCGATAAGAGAACAGCAAACAAACACAGCGGCCGACCTGCTAAGCTGTATTCAAATAAACAAAAGGGTAGCGCAACTAATTCTGCTTTATTTGCCAAGCTTACGCTAGTCTAAGCTGTGTGAGCCTTAAAGCTGGGAACATGCAAACAGCACAGGCCTGTGTCACAACCCGAGGCGTTTGAATGTTCATAAATCTGGCAGCTTCATTGCTGTAATGGAGAAGGCAAACAGAGTCAGGCACGCTGGGAGCACAGCAAGGCAAACGGAGACGCGAGAGACAATAATTACTGTCGTACCGGGTGTCAAACAAGCACCTCCAAACCTCACACAGGGGACAAAGGTGATATGAAGCTCAAGAATGTAGCCACATTTCAGGACATTCAGGAGCCGAGGCCAGTGAAACTGCCAGACACTGCTCTTCAGTAGTCGACTGGCTGACCAGGCCGGCTAACCCCTATAACCCCTGCCCTGTAGCACAGGGTTAGATAAACTCAGGGCAGACTCTGCACTTGATTTAAGACGCAGTGTGCTTTCCTGATCACGGCCTTCATTGAGCATCTTCCCACAATAAAACCAAAGAAATGGATCTTGGCATAGAAGATCCCCAGCTATTTTCTTCACCACAATGACATTCCCGTCTGCGGTCACACTTCTCTCTCTCTCGCTCTCTCTCTTATGCTCCTTTTCTTTGCTTCTTCTGCTCATCCTCTTCCATAGGCCGCTCACTCTGTCATTACTGTCCCTATATTAGAAAAGGGCCTCCTTTCCGAGCATCGTTCAGCACTCAGCTCTAGTTTTTAATTGTGGTGCTGAATGGCGGTGACTTAGGGCAGCTGCATCTCCAAGCCAAATTACAGATCAGGCTTGCAGCTCTGTTTTGATATGACATAAGAAACAAGACATGTGTCAGTGAGAGGGCACGCGCCTCTCGCAAATAGATATTTTCAACTTTTTCAAGTTCTCAGTTCATGTTCCACAACTTGAATTCTCCATCTTTCTTCACCACGTCCTGATTTTTGCCCTACCTCAAGGTGGCGAGGCCTTTGTGCTATTGTTTGACTTGATACTCAGATATTCCAGACAGCTGTTTGGGTCTTTTATCAGTGAGCTGCAGTGTGTCTGCGCCTATAGACTGACCGTCAGGCCTAGCGTGGGCCTCGGCCTTGCGCGTGCTATGTTTGGAAAGCTGGGCTGCGTTTGCTTGTCTTGCTGTGTGTTTAGTCTAGAGAGCGGCACCCAGCCTGAAGAGGCATGGGCAGAGCATATTTGTCCACTGACCCATCGCTGTGTGCTCTCAGGTGAGACTCTGCTGATGGAATCTGGAGCAGAGCTGAAGTTCAAGCTGTAGGAAAAATTACAACAGCTAAAACACGATCACTGCTCTTCACATCAGTAGAGACCAAAGAGTAAATAATCAGCTTTCGTACAATGCTGTCCAGCGCATGATCTCACTTTGTACATAAAGAACAGTCCACTAGGCTTTGTTCTGGTCAGCAAGTCTCATACACAGAGGTTTGTTTTTGTACAGTGTAAGGAAATGAGAGACACAAAGAGACCACCCTTTATTTATTTGATTTCCAGTCAAAAAGGCCATTAGGTAAAAGTTATTCATCTTTATTTTTCTATGGGATTCATTTTTGAGGAGGTTTAATATTAGATTATGTATAAGATAATCCACTTGCATAAGGAAGAGAAAAGTCAATGAAAAATAAGTGAAAAAAAAACAGGTTTTTCCAAAACTCAGGTAGAAAAAAAAATTAAGACATACAAGAAAACGACCTGGTAGAAAAATCCACAACTGTTTCTGTCCATCCTTCCACTGTGAGAAGACAACTCAATGCTATAGGCCTGAAGGGATGTGTAGCTGTCTAAAACCCTTACTGAGAAAAGGAAACAGCAAAAAAGACATTTTTAGAGCAAGCAAAGAAGCTGTTGGTGTTTCCAGAACAATGGACTGACCACCGAAAAGTCCAGAACTCAACATCACAGAATGTTTTTGGGATTACTTGGATTGTGAGAAG